GATTTCGTGCTAGCTCCCCTACTATAAATGGAAACTTGCAATCAGAGCTTTCTAATGAATCGATGTTTTACGGATTGAAGTCAACAAATATGGATACCTACTACCTGTATTCTTTTAATGTTCAAGAAAAAGAACAATATTATTATGTTTGTGCAAGTACGTACCTATTGTCGGAAAAAAAACGCTAAAATTGCTGGCCCGTCCAAATTTGGATATTTTTTATCTCTATTGTGGGAACCCTCTCTTGTGGAGGTCCTGACCGGGGCGCGTAAATACCTACATTATTTACCACGGTACAGACGACTTGGTCTCTGTACCGCAGTATACAATGTTCCTGAAATTACGCACAAATCCATGGTATACACAAATCTCATCTAAGTACATTGTTTACTCTGCTGCAGGCGAATAGTCAGTGGTGTGATGAATGGATGGAGAAATTTAGTACGTCTACTGCTTCTGCTTCTAACTGGATTGTAAGATACATATACAGGGTGGTGACTTGCGTAACGCATCATAGGGATTTTAATGTATAATTCATAACAGGCGATTATTGGCTCCCCAAATTATTTTAGAGCAAAAATGTATTAGTTTTTTGTAGAAAAAAATTTTTTACGCCAAACCGCCGTAGGTATTAGTTTTCAATTTTTTTCATATAAAGACGGAAAATTGGGAAAATAAAACCCGCATCTTTTTCAATAATCTGCGATGCCATGGAATTTTCTAAAACAAAAAGATATCCAGTTATCAATTATAGTAGCAGTTCGAAATGTATTTTATGATCGACTTGGTTACTGTCTTGCAGTTAATGGTGACTTATTCGAACGTTTATTGTAAATTGTTATATTAGAAAACCGTTTTTAGTAATTTGGCCTTTCTTTATGTTGAATTCGCTGTTTTAAATATAATACTTTTTGATAGAATTTGATTTGTTTTATAGCAAACATGACGGATATTGGCGTAGTTTTTGTATTATAAAATTCCATGGCATCACAGATTATTGAAAAAGGTAGGGGTTTATTTTTCCAATTTTCCGTCTTTATTATGCAAAAAATTGAAAACTAATACGGTTGATTGACGTAAAAAATTGTTTTGTACAAAAAACCTTAATACATTTTTGCTCTAAAATAATTTGGGGAGCCAATAATTGCATGTTATGAATTTTACATTGAAATCCCTATGATGCGCTAGCCAAGTCACCACCCTGTATACCCTTCTGCCAAGAAGAAGTGCTTGTTTTTGCAATGGATAGGTATGTACTACTGTAGTAGATTTAGAAAAGTTTTAACTGCGTGTCAGTGATATAACATAAAAGGAGGAAGGTACTAAAAAAGTCACTGCCAATGGCATCCACACTTTAGCAACCAGTTTTACTGAAAAAAACACTCATCCCAATTCTCTATCATAAAAAACAGTATAATAATCGAATTCCTTACCCTCAAAAATATAGGACACGATTTAGATTTATCATATAATTTTGCAATGTGCCTACCGCAGTTATAAAGTATTTCTAGGTACCTATAATAGCAATTTTATATGTTATGCTGTAGCATTGAATAAAAATAGTGTTATTATTCAATGGCTGTAGTAAGAAGCGGATATGAAATCGCCGACATTTTGATTAGGTACATTATATTTACTATACGATACAGATAGTGTCATCGTCTGCAGCACAGTAAACAATGTAGATGAGATTTGTGCGTAATTACAGGAACATTGTATACTGCGGTACAGAGACTAAGCTGTCTGTACTCTGTACCATGGTAAACAATGTATTTACGCGACCGGGGAAGTGCCTGCTCTTTTCCATACACGATCGGATTGCAGATATTGAAAAGGGCAGCAAAATCGTTCATAAATAAGAAATACATACCTATTATGGGTCTAAGGCCGCTACTGAAATTTTATAAGGAGTGCTCCACAATATGATAATCACCGCACAGTCGACCGTTTGTGCACGGCTCGAACCGGATTCAGAAACCCGACTTTTAATCCGGCACAAACGATCCTTGAACGCAATCGTTTGGTCAAGGTTTGACGTCGCTGTCTTGTTGTCGAGGTACATCACAAGGAACAGACGGATGGATGTACGGACCGAATTTGGATGGACGTTGGGGTCAACTTTATAGCATTGTATTTCTAAAACCTTGGGGGTGTGGCCAACTTACACCTTTTGGTAATTGTAAATAGTTAAGTTATGCCGACAGGTCATTCAGAAAAGTTGGGGAATGGTGGTCAAATTGGGCGTTGTAGTCATTATCAGAATTTGTTGTCTTTGGTCATTGTGATCTAGATCTATATCAAAATTAGACGAAAAAAACATCACAGCCGCCCACTGGCACAGCAGATCGTATAATATAAGAGTAGGTACCTTTGATCTCGTTTGAATATAAGTACAGTGCATTCTAGTCACTTCAATATCTCTTTTATTTGCATATTGAAACTTCCGGTTTAACCGGAAAGCGATGCAACTTTGGTTTTTCAAACGCAATGTCTACATTTTTAAGATATATGAAAAGAGTGAGTAATCAATGAGCTGTACGTACCACAACATACAATATGCATATGGTTTCATATTTACTTCTCTGCACCCATTCCATAACGTGTATAGGTACCTACAGTTTTCCCACGTTTGGTTTTATTTGCGTTAGGACATCTTTACCATCTTTGTTGCCATTCCATACATCACGCTCTTCTCTTTCAGAAGCTTTTTCGCATCTGTACCCTTGTTCATTTCCAGGGATCCCGACATGACCTGGTACCCGTAGGTACATGAAAAGTACCTATGTCCTGCTCGAGGATAGAATTCAAGTCAATACACATACTAGTCATTACGTCATCAGAATGTATTTGCGATACACTCTTTATAACTTTTTTGCGCGATCGGTCATTTCTGGCTATTTACCATGTGTGTTTCCATGACAGTACGTAGAATTTACCAGTTGCTATGATTACGACGACGCCAAAATTACTTACCGATCTAAAAACAGAACAGCAAAAATACTTACCGACGCCTTTTTAAAAATCAACAGTCTTACATTACATTTAATCTTTAATTATTGTTAGGTACATTAAACGTACAATTTGTGCTGTTGTTTCCTATAGAAAGACGCTCATAAAGTCATAAAGGAAGTGCAAAGCTAGCAACCTACATCAGACACATGTACAATTTTATGAAATTATTAATTTCAATTTTGACAATAAACTGGTTACCTAGTGATGTACACCATACCACTTCGATCATTTCGATTTATTCTGCTCGTTAATTTCTTAGTGCATATTTATATTGGTTACATAATTTTAATTTCGATCGCGCAAAAAATTTTATAAGCACGTCGAACGTTAAGGGTTACCGTTCGAAGACAATAATTGGAGTCGTCGCTTCGCTCCTCCTCCAAACAATTGTCTTCGAACGGTAAAAATCCCTTACCGTTCTCCATACTTAATATACTATTAGGCAATCGGAAATAATTAAGATTTAAAAATTTCCGAACCATCGAACAATAGGTACCTACTTAATCGCCTGCTAGACTGTTCTGCAAAATGTATGGAAGAGCTCTATTCATGTGATATATAGGGGAAGGTGTTGTACCATGGGACAATTTTTTTAATTTATTTTGTTACAGCGGCAATTTTAAAAATTTGTTCTGTTTTTAAATATCAATAAAAGTAACATATTTTTAGCTACCCTAAATAACAATTTGAAGATTTGTTGTTACTTATTTTCACATTCATATTATGGACTAAAGTAACACATGCTCTCTGTCCCATGGTACAATAACATCGTGTACCTTGGGACTGAAATAATTGTACCTTGGGACGGGTTTTTTCACGCTAGTAACAGATCTAGTATTCATTTATTTATTAATAGTAGATAATTAATTGATATGATAACATGAAAAATCCACGGGAAACAAAAATTGCTCCATACGGCGTTCAGACCCCCCAACTGTTTTTGGTGTGGGCAATTTTTTAACAACGTCTGAACAAGGGAGATCATAAACTTCTTCGTTCTTGACAAATTTTTGCTAGTGTGGACTTACTTACACCATGTAGTCGCGCAGCATCCCTTAGACTGGTATTTTGAGTCAAAACGTCACTTACTGCTGCTTGAAGATTTGCTATGTTGATGGGGTCCCTTGCTTTACCGGTTCTACTGCGCGGCATAATAATCTGATAGAAGAAAATGCGACTAAGCAACCAGAAATCAAAAATTAAAAATGAATAAAATGCATGTACTAAAAATAAATAGAATGCATGTAGGTACCTTGGGACTGTCCCAAGGTACACGCACATATGTGTCCCAAAGTACACGTTTGACATTGAAATCTAAATTGCATGACAATTATTTATGTCTAATAAATTTACCTTTGTCTGTATGTGACACTACAAATGGAATTGAATGAAGTACACGCTGGAATCCAGAAAATTTCAAAATTCTATGTCTTCAACACGTAACGCGCGGTTAACCAATACACAAAAACTAAATTAGTGATTTGCAAAACGTAACCTGTCGCCCTGTGCACGTTCTATGACAAATGTTACTGAAAATATAGAATTCCTTAAACACAACAGTGTTCCTCTATAACATACTACAACATTAACATCAATGTGACCATAGATGGCTCTAGTAGGCATTTTGTCCCAAGGTACATGCGTCCCAAGGTACAACACCTTCCCCTACCATCGCGCTCCCAGCACAGCACTCAGGTGCAGGAGACTAGGTACTTGCATATGGTTTGGTTCCTATAGGTAGGCATCATTGTCAATGGTTTCCTATTTACCATTTATGCCTTATCTACCAATTTCAAAATTGTAACCTACAGCGGCCACTAGACAAACATTAGGTAACTGTAAAAGTTGTAATTTTACCCTAATTTATCGTAGGCGGCAGACCTACCTACTAACCTACCAATTATATTAGCCCTTTAATGGCTTTAATCACCTGATCAGTGATTTACTTACTTCAGATCGTAGTTTTTACTTTGGAGAAATAAGTTTATCAGTTTAGTTTATGCATAATTTGTACAATCTGTCAAGAGCGAAAGCAAGCGACATTAATAATGCATTTAAAAGTCGGATGTTAAGACAGTCAATTTCCTATCGATTCGATTTCATGTAAGTATTTATTTGAAAACTGAAAATGAAATACCTACATTTGGAAATACCATGAAGTGAGCGAACGCATGGGTGTCTAAATTCAATTCAAAATAGTAAAGTTCACGTGTGATTAATGCAAGCCGCAAGTAGATTGGTCACCTTTTGTTGTTTAGTCTAAACGGCAACGTCGTAGATTACGTAATTGTAGGTGTGGCTCTACGGCAGTTGACAGGCGTGTAAGAAGGATAGCGAAGGAAAGAAGGAGAGCATGGAGTGATCGTATTCGTTTCGTATGGTTGTAGTTTGGTTACTCAGTTGCTGTTCGTTTCGGTCGTTTGTGGCACGATGCAGGTGTTGATTTTTATTTCGAACGCTATTTTATACAAACTTTACATGCAAATAAAAATAATCAAATAAACAGAGTGTCATTTAAATTACTTAGCTGTGATCTCATAAGGGTTGTGATTAAATACGTGTAGAATTTAAATTAAAATGACTTTACCGTTGCCCATTTCGTGCTCTCAAAGAGTTAAAGATGTTCTTACAAATACAAGTATTGACCAACTAGAAATAAGTGCCAGTATGGCAACGAAAATACTAGCACCTGTTAAAACCGAACAGCAAATTTTAGAGAATTCCATGCTGGAGGACGATCCAAATGCAAACTGCAGTGTGGTAACCCAAGACCAAAAGGTGCGACCACGATGGGGTCCGCAGCATAAAGGTGCACAGGAGCTTGCTAACCTTTACACTACCGGTAAAGTATATTTTTATAATTTTGTCAATGAATGAACACCCAAAACAACTTTTGCTGAAAACTATATTTAACCCTTCGCGTTTTATGCCAATTGGATCACTAACAAATTCTCGTTACTGTATTTTGTGTCAATGCCACTGCACCAAATTTATGAATACTTCAATCACATTCACCGAATTCACCTGGTGCTTGACGGCCGACTGCGATGGTTAATCTGCGAGATAAAAAGTTGAAATATTTCTGATAACGACCGCTCCGATGGTAGATACATTCATTATTATTGGCAATTACGGGTGAACGTACAACACCGTTTCGGTTTTATAGGGTTGAAACAGTTGATGAAAATGATTAACTTTGTAAATACGGTTTTTCCCAAAGTGATTGTACAGTGTGTTATAAAAGTAAGGTTAGTAAGGCTGTAGGTACTGTACTTCGCCGGTATGCGTAACGAAAGAAACAGGAAATTTGCAAAAATTTGGTATCTACGTTCGTGACATAAGAAACATGACTTTAATTTTTCAGGTAAAATATGTGCCTATGAGAAGAGACGTATCTATACTGTCCTGTCGAGTGTACGGCCAAAGAAAAGGGTTGAAGTGTAATGAAATTTTTGAGAAGTAAGAGGTTTGATGAAGGCTGTGTGTAGGTACTTCCTGAAGTTTGTGTAAATAAAATCATGAAAATATTTCTTGATGTTATAAGAAATCGTCGAGATATAGAATGCAATATATAACTGGTTACAGTAAAACCGCTTCCTTCCTTGCGGCCATGCGTAACTGATACAAAGTTTTTATTTGTTAGTATATAAATGTCAATTAATTATTCAAAACTTTATCAATGAAATATCACTTTATCTTGTATAGGTTATTGTAAAATGTGCTCTAAGCTGGCACCGAGGCTGGTACACTCTAAAAGGCAAGGGAAATATCCGGAAGGCGGAAGGACTCTTCTATCTAGACTCACCTCCGATGAAGTGGGCACATGTAAAAGTTAAATGGTCCCCAGATGGTACCTACACCATGTATAATTTCAAATGTTTGGTAATTTATGGATAATCTAAAAAAATAAGAAAAATATGTACCTTTGGTGGATTAGCAAATGATTGTAACTATTTGAAAAATATATACAAGACGTTCCAAAATACCCGGGAAACCACCGTGATGATACTATTTGAAAAAATTGACTTAATGACGAGCTTAATGCTATAAACGAATTTATAATTTGGAATCAATGAACAACGATTATGGTCCGTTTATGGTCACCTACATTAAAAAGTAATATTAAAGACTATTTTTCCGATCTCGTTCCCGGCCCATCTTGTATAAATTACCGAAAGCAACATATGTCTAAGTAATACTGTACGAGTATATCGAAAAATAAAATAAATTTTGCATTCTCTACCCACCTTTGTATCAATAGCAGCAAAGTTAGACAAACCTCGCATTCCACAATGGGCGGATTCCGAGGCGGATTCCCTACGTTGTTGAAAGACCACGTCGCACTCACTAGTACCCATGATTACTATCGGGAATGTGAACCGTGTTCCCCTAGCATCGGACAAAAGAACCAAGCCGAAGAAAATTCCGACTCATTATCCGCAGAGCGTAAATATAGGTGGAAAATCGAGAGCAAGAAAGCCAACGTTGGAAAACGCTAAACACACACTTTACATCACATAATATACAAAAATTAACAATCCGAGGCAATATCCCTTGAATTTGAATAGTTTAAACATGACGTTAAACGAATACAAAATTTGATAAGTTTCAGACTTGCCAACTCAAACAGATTTAAGAGCAACTCCAACCTTGACTCCAACCCTTTCCCATTTGTGAAAAATAAGATTCCAAAGTCTCTTACATAAGTACATAAATGGACCTTCTCCAGTCCAGAAGGTATCTGATGTCCTGGATACAGTAACCTTATACTAAAAGTGTATTTCGAAATGAATGCCGCTAAGTACTTTAACCTAGACCTTAACACTCCGGCATTTACCTGTGCACGGGGGACACAGTTAATGACATTCAACAAAAGAGAGATTCATACACAAAGAATTGCAATCGCGAATGAGTTTAAACATCGAATGAAAATTACTGACCAATCTCAAACAAATCAAAATAAGGATAAAATTTAAAGTGAAACAAGCAAATAACAAACAAATTCAAGGGTTACCTACCCGCAGTTACAAACAACTGAAGGCAATACAATTTACAATAAAGCGAAGAATTTGCAATTAAAATTAAGCAAATTACCTTTTGTTATGGCACAAATTTGATATAAAGATTGCCAATTGACAATTATATTAAACAAATTCAACTGGGCTGACAACGCAGAAAGGAAAATGACGGTACATTTTACCATGAACTTGAATGTACTGACCAAAATGGAAAATCGGGAAAACTAAATCAAGACATTATTTCCTTTATATACAGATTGACATTGTTTAAGAATTGCTATCATATAAACCGAGATATAAACTCTATGTACGCCAACGGTAAGTACTTGTCGTTTGAAAGTTTGAAATTTCAGGTTGTACGAAACGATTAATGTGGTCACTTTTCCAACTACGATAACGATTTCTTGATAAATAATACAAATTGAAATTGATTCAAATTAAAAATGTTTAAATTGATTCAAATTAAAAAATTTTAAATTTATTAAAATTAAAATACACATTAGGTAGATAATTAAAATTAAAAATCTTCCACGAGTCCACACAGGAAAAAAATTTCTACAATTTAATTTTTTTGATTTTGGAAACCGGTTACAGTAAATGAATATGCGCAGTTTTACCAAAAACCTTAAAATTGTAATGCAACAATTTCAGTGGAATTTTTTAAAATTTTAATCTTCTACATGTTTTGAAAGGAAGTTGAAAATGCATCTAGCAATACGTGATGTATTGCAAATTTAGCAACGACCTACTTCGTACGTATCATGTGGTGGGACGCCATCGTCTTTACTAGGGATATTTCAACATACAAATATCAAATCAACACTTCAGTGAGATCCTAGAGCTACATCATTTTTGTTCATAAACATATAGAATAAGTGTAACCATCAAATGTGCGATGAACCATTTTCGCATCCCATTCCAAAGTTACAGCAGTTTCACAAAATAAAACCATTGGATAGTCTGTCCCACGACGACGATGGTCCCATTATCAAATCTGCAGCTTGAAGATTAAACAAAACTGTTAAAATTGGGGAACTTCCGAAAAACCTATGTTGCGAGTATAGGTATAGATTATAGATTTATTAGAGTACAGATAAGATTTGTTTTACAAAACTTTATCTTTTATGCGTAAAAACTAAACCCTAGACGCAACCTTTCGTTGCTTGATTTAACGCCGAAATGGAAATAGAGGTTGCTTATCCACATTTAAGGGTAATGTTCTAGTCCTAGTCTATTCAAGACCTCAAACACAATACGATGTAGTGAAATCGATGGATGGAATATTCCTAACAGTTGGAAATGTTATTTTTCTCAGTAATTTGTGTTAGTAAACGTAGCAAGTATACCTCGAAGTATACACACCCACATTTGGTACTTGGAAAATATTGTGATTGTGATTAATAGAACAGCGCACTTGGTGGATCTATCTATATTACGATAACAAAATTCCAATTACCATAGATTACGCACCTATCTTGTAAACAAATACGGTAAACAGTGTTTGTTATTGTGTCAAAAATTTAGAGATGAACGTGAAAAAAACATATATTTATTATGGTATTCTCGGATGCATAACGTTATATCAATTTCTGGTCGTTTTAAAGCGTGTGTGACAACGTACCCAGGGTCGATTACCGGGGAAAACATACAAGGTATCGATAAAAGTTTTAGGGTTCATCAATATCTAGTAGGCGGTGATATATAAATAATTATTATTATCACGAATTTATGTTGAAATTTTTCTTTTTATCGCATTTTTCAGAAAAATAACCTGCGCTATTACTAGTGTTTTCCGGCGGCCCGTCTGTGTGAGGGGCGAGATCTCAATCGGAAAGTCGTACAAATCTTGTTGATAACGTCTTATTTGATATAGATATAGGCCCCAACTCGGGCCCCAATTAGTGCAACAAGCAAGGTTTTTTCGTAACCAATTCGGGATGATGTCTAAAATATGGGCAACATTTTTAATTATGCACCAATTTCGTTGAGAAAACGGCAAAACTTACTAACTTAGATACATATAATAGTATCTAATGTTATGAATCGCAAAGGTATTGCTATTAATTAAGTGAAAACGCGAATTTTTGAGTTATTGTGCGTACAGCTGAATGGACGGCTGGACTATTAGACTTTAATGTTTCAAAATTGAAATATCAAAAGATGCTAATTTTCGTACTACCTGAATTCCAACCATATAGATTGTAACATACACGTAAGTAATTATTGTTATAGTAAGTAGGTGTATCAAAAAATGTTGGTAAAGGGGACTATATCAAAACATTTTTTTGCAAATAAACAAAGGACAAACGGTTTTGACACAAAATCTGAATATCTTTACAAGAGCAGCCATAGATGTATAGGACCTACTAACTCCATCGACACTTGTAATTTTTAAACGCATTTTCCGATTTTATAAAAATTGTTCTAAACTTGCGCCTACGAAACGAGTATAACGTCCTCTGGTCACCATCTTATTTTGATCACGTTCTCTACTAAATTTTATTATAACATCCACTTTGATCACAATGTTCACTACTAAGCGTAGTCACACCTAATATCGTTCACTGGCTGGAGACGTGACCGTCGTACGGCTAACGTCACAGATAGGTAGATCTTTTTGAGTTTGATTGAGGATGAAATTGAGGAGGAAACGAAAAAATGGAAAATTGGCTCTATTGGCAGCCACGGTTATTATTTGGGACCATGATTTATTACGTGCACGTGATAATGAAAATTGATTGCGCATGCGCAGGCCCATCTACATTATTTATAGACGGATTTTTTGATACATAGATTAAACGCACATTAATAAATAAACAGTACACCTGCAGACTAAAATACACAAGAAATTGTCAGAGTCAGAGCAACAAAGATTGAAATCACGTGTCAAAAAATCGATTGTGTATGCGCAGCGCAGGTCCATTTTTCTGAGCTGGATTTTTCCGAAATGTTAACATAACATTAACATGTCAACGCAAAAACTCAAGTATTTTTTACTCCAGTCGAAAATAAGTTTTTACTGACCAAATTATTTCCGCTGAATATCAGTCAATAGTTAGATACAATTATTTTGGATCACCTCGGGTATCACATAAAAAGGAATTACCTGCTTTATGTAAAAATGTGATAATGATTCGTGCGCCGTAAGATAACCACGACATCGTAACTCTTAAAAGCGGAACCAAACCAGAGGATTCCTTGCATAAGAATAATCCATAACGATGCTGGAAACACTGGAATTTGTGGCTGTTAAAGTAACAAAAACGGAAACAAACATCCTAAACAACACAACCAAACGTTAATATAACGTACGCGTCAAAGCTACTATCGACTATCATCAACGAATAACTAAAGAAAAGGAAGTAGAAATCTAGTTCTATTTATACCGCGATGTATACTAATTATTGGTAATAGTGAGTTCTGATTGGCCTAATGGGTCTCTCACATCATAGTTTATAAAATATATAGTTAAAGTAACGAAAGCTTAGAGATTTGTAAAGTCTAACGTTTCCAAATCAATAGATGGGGAAGCCCATTCAGCAAATAGCAAAAGTGAATTAAATTGTTATACCGAAAGCTTCGAGATTTGCAAAATCCGAGGCAAAATCTTAACGCTGCCTAATGAATAGATGGGCGGAGGCCCATTCAGGCAACCGAAGCTGTAAATTTCTCTTGTAATTAGTATAATAATAGAAGAATAAGACAACTTAGGTCACCAAGAAGTTTGTGAGTATTACGATGGCAGAACAAACGTTGTAAATTATATAGGTATCAATTAAAGCAAAGTTAATTTAATCTTATAATCAATTTCGCGGGTGGACAAAGCATGGCTCTTTATCAAAGTGAAGGACAGTGGATACCGAATTAATCAGATTATCACCAACGAATTACTAATGAGAGAAATGAGGGACGTCTTTAGTTTATATTTTCAATATGAAGTTATATTCCGTTTTACTCGTATACGGAATTTGATGTCCTT